GAAATGCTGCGATGCTTTCTTCGTGCAACATTTTGTTCATACAGTGAGTTATACTGCAACGATTCGTCCTAGTACCATCGGTGATTGGACGTGGGTGTGTGTAATTGAGTGTGTGGGTGGTTGGATTTGAATGTGTAGAGGATGGGTGTGGGTAATTGGATTGGCATGATTGAATGGGAATGTATAGTTGTGAGCGGAATTAGGCATGTGCCAGCCTGAGCCTAGAACGAGCAGGTCGAGCTCGACTTTGGTAGGGTCAGACTTGGGCTCAGTCAGAGCCTAAACGAGTCTAACTGATCCTGAGGTACTTGTACTAGGTACATGCATAGGTGAGATTGGATGTTTGAGTAGTGTGGGTGTGAGTAGATGCGGCTCTTTTTTTTCACCCACACCCACCCGGAAAAGGTTTTTCGTTTCACTGCTAAGAATTTCTATGTTACATAAAGGTTTCACAGTTGCTGTTAACGATTCACTCATTATTCTTGATAGGCAAACCTTCGAAGCATGAAAGAATTATCTTTATTCCTCATTTATAAAATTACCAGTTACATTATGTCGATACTTTCATCTCGATATCGAAAATCACAAAAAGATCATGAATAGAATAGGATACACATGTAGAAAGCTAATCATGTAAAATGTGGACAAAATTCTACAAGAAAGAACCATTAAATCAATAAAACTGTGTGCAATGCATACAGGTTAATACACTAACTAGACTTCTGAGTAAGAAAAAATCATCAGTCGATCAGATAAACGGAAGACCGTGATGAATATTCATTTCATTTTACTTAGGAATCATGGTCGTAAGTTACTTACCAAGATGCAATAATCAAAATAAAATTTTTTGAAAAAGCTTCAATAGCAATAATTTCCAACTTGGTTGAATTTTGTGTATGTGAGACGCGTCGTTTGTTTGTCGAAGGACTCTTTTATTACTTTTGCAACATAAACAAGCTTTGCTTATCTTATCTTTCTTTCTACCATGTTTCTTTTTATTATTGTCAACCACGTGCTTTCTTGAGAAGCGCTGCTGAAGACAACAGAAAAATATTCAACATGAAGAGTAGACCAATACTCATGAGAAACAAGGGAAAAAAACCATATCTGTAAAAGGAAATACATTTCACATGAAGTACAAGCATCGATAATCATTGGTATACCATGGAAAGAGGTTGATATTGTTCAAAAACAAGCAATGGTAAACAATGATAGACTTTCTTCAGTGTCAGTTAAACAGATGAAATTGAATCAGCATGAATTTTTGATAAATTTTCAGTAAAATGATATGGAAAATAATAGTTTTCAATAAAGTAATGATTCTTTGAATTGCATAAACATTTTAGAAAATCTGGCATATTCCTCGTGTTTCTCAAATACAAGAAAGGAAACGACTGAAACAGGGCGTGGGTGGGGTGGATGAAGACAAGATACACAAAGTACCCATACCTACATCCACACCACACACACCAGCGGCGGATCTAGGATTTTTTTCATATGGGGCGATTTTGACCAAAAATCGAGTTTTGAAGTTCATTAGTAGTAGTATGTACTCTATTTTTAAGTCTTTTCTGCTGGGAAAAATCGAAAATTTTTTTTTCGAATGGGGACGATCGCCCCAAGCGCCCCCCCCCCCCCTCAATCCGCCACTGACACACACGCTTTAGCATATGTGAAAAATTGTGATTCAAAAGTTCAATGTAAAAATGAAACAAAATATTATTATTATTATTATGGGAATCGAAGAAAATTTTTAAGTAGTTTCATTTTGAAGATATTTGCTCTTTTATTTGAAAACCTTGGGAAAATATTTTAGATAAACAAACATTTTATTATTAATTATACATCATCAATCAAAGTTTATGCAGCTAGAAATAATCAAATATTTGTACAGTATTATTTAGTAGATTCGGATCATACAGATGAACTATTATCAACTACTAATGGTAATTCAAGTCTATTAATAACAAATAATGAACTGGTTGAACATTTATTGATATAACAATAGCTATTAATCATTATGTTAGACTTGGATATCAAGGATGTGTTTTAGTTATTCAATACGAATTTCAGATACAATTCTATTATTGTTTTGATAAAATCAAAATGACTTGAAAATGAACAACAGTATAAGGTTAATTAAGCATACAGACGTATGACTATTTTTATGACATTTTTTCAAATATACTTTTTGTTTATCATTGAGAGACATGCCTAATTAAAGTTAGATAATTATCAAGCAGAACTTGAATTCAAATATGAATTGGTATATCATTATTTTTTACTATTATAACTTTAATTTATGTCCCATTAATTGAATAATAGGAAGTCAAGAAAATCTTTAGCGTTGTTGTGACAAAAATGACTCATTGAAATATCTGAAAGACCACTCAGTCATACTGAATAAATAATGAACTTTCTTAGAGTTAATCTTTATACATTCAGTTATTTTAGATACTCTGAAAAAATTATACCTAACGACTTTTTTGTATCGAAATAATCATCAAAAACCTAGCGTTAACAATATGACTCGCAGAAGGATATTTACTTTCATTTCATAAATTTTAGTTTAAACAACTACAAATGACAGCAACATTTTTGAAAACTAATTAATACATTCCTGTAAATAACTCTTAAGACTAAACAATCTCTATCGAAAGGATTTCTGAGCATGCAAAGATTTTTCAAAAAAATGGACTTACTTTTTGTTAGCGTAACATGAAAATTTCGAAGAGGAAAAATTTTTGAGTTCGATCTTACTGAAAATTTTACTATAGATGTAGTTTATACTGTATAGTCGATCCTGAATTTTTTCTTGAATACTTAGATAAATAATCACTCATTATTAAGTATAATTATGCATCAATTGAAAGAGGTAACATTTTTACGTATGTCTATGGTAAAAGAACTTATTTACAATAATTTCTACGTTTTTTTTTTTACTTGCTTTCAGTTATAACGATTATCTTTTATTACAGAAAACATAATAATGGCAAAAACAATGGGAGAAATTCTTATTGATGCACAAAACGAAGAAGAAAATATTTTCATACTTCAATATTAGCATTCATTTATTGAAGATATATGAAATACATATGAAAATAGTTTCTAGATTTCTTATCCTTTTTTTTTAATTTAGAGAAAATCTTCATGAAAATAGATAATAAGAAAGAAAACTAGTAGTTACTGACCCTATTATCTCCTACTGATCGAAATAATGAATTTGATGCATTTAATGATATTTAATATACAGCTAAATTTTGAAAAAAATAGAATGTATAAAATAGTACGTCATCAACAAACTGTACTAATATATTGCAATATTTATATATTTGAACAAATACTGCGTTACGTCAATTATTTTCAACTGGTAATTATAACAAAGCAATATATGAGACCAGATATTGGAATTGAAAATGAGTAGTCCTATGAAACAGCATCACATTTTTATTTAAAAAAATTGGCCATGATAATATTAAAATATTAGTCGTCGATGTTTATATATATCAAATACTGGTTTCTTTTTGTTATCATTAAATGAAAATGTAAATTCTTATGGTTGGTGGCTTGAATGAATTTTATATGGAATATTGAACGAATATTTTCAAAACTTTGTTCAATTAGAGAACAGATAGATAAGGCTGAGACATTTTATAGATTAAAAAAAGTGATCTTTGTGACAATTATTAGGTAAAACAAAATTTATTTTAACTGTTTGTTTACAAATAAACTTCTAGAATGTTTTCTTGATATACTTGTGAATATTCATATTTTTATAAAAAATTATTTTACCGTATTTTGTACCATACATACTGAAAAATACACTTAGAAATCATTGTAGTATAAGATCTGCTCAGCAGCAATTCCCTCACAGATAGACGAAATAACTTCATAAATCCCTTCCTGTTTCGTACTTGTTTCGCTGTGGGATACAAATCGATCCAGTAGTTGGGTGATTCCGTGGCCATCAGGTGCTCGTAAACAGAGACCGCAATGACCAATTTTACTCTTACTATCTTATTTTTTCTAAGGAATGAATAAAACTCCAAAGCCAAGAGTCATCAAATGGTAAGACTTTTGTTAATTTACGAATACTTTCAATAGATAACATAAAGCTCTGTGATAATAAACAGCGACAGCTTCAAAACCAACATTCATATGATTACGCGTGTTAATTAATAATCAATTCATGAAATAATTTTGACATTCAAATTTTAGTTTTAAAAAATAGCATTTAAAATGTGTCTAAACTGAGTGCTTTGAAAGGGACTCTGAAGTCAACTGATAAAATGTGAATAAATTCATTCTTCACATTTCGTTATGTAGATCTTTCATAAGTTGACTTCTACTTGAAGATTGGTAATTCTTTTCAAATATACATTTTTTTTTCTTTCGTCTCACAGTAATTTGAAAATAATACAGTAAAAGTTTAAATCGTTTTTTTCTCTATTCTAAATATCTCTCTATTTCGAATGATGTCATCTAGATGAGATAATATAACTGTCTGAGTTACCGATCTCAGAACTACATTAACTGTATGTCATAATTGATTTCAAATAATTCTTTTTCATAGCAAAGGAAAGCAGCTTTATTACATCAAAATTAATCCATCATTTTTATTCATTCTTGAATAAAACATTGATTAGCTGGCAAAAGTCATCAAATTTCTATAATATGGATGAAATTGAATAACAGAATAATGTGATATTTCTTAAAAGTAAATATTTATTAGAAAGGTACTATAATCGTGAATTTCCACAATATTTCTTTTGTTGTATCGAATAATGTAGGTACTCGATAAGTGTAAATATAATGAGTTGATTGCATATTTTCTTTTTTAAATTATCTCAGATCATCCGTCATGCACATAGACGAATCATTGGTGACTCATTCTTTTGATTAACTTATTTATAATTTTTGACTATTCAATATTGTTTCTTATACACCAACACTATATATAAGGAGGTAATTATTATACACTTTCATTTCTAAATATCAAAATGAAAAAAATGACTCCATTGGAAGACTTATCTAATGAATTGTTCTTCGAAATATTTGATTATTTACATGCACTTGATATTTTTATGGCATTTTCAACACTCAATCAACGTATTACATTGATACGGTCTTCAATTTCACTTCGTATTGTTGTTTTGTCATATCATTGTCATCGCCAAATAAAATCTCCTTCTTCCTATCTTATCGATCATACACATCAAGTAGTTTCAATTTCTCTTGAAGATTCCATTCGTGATTTTACATCTATTATTTCTTTCTTTTTCATTCGACATCCGCTTGAAAATCTTGAACTATGTGCACTTTATTCATCACATTGGTCAATATAAATACCAACTGCATTGCAACAATTAAAAAATCTCATTAAACTAAGATCGCTTCGATTTATCGTAAGAAATTCTAGGCAACTTTGTGAAGAAAAGAAACAATATACAAGTCAAACTATTTTAATATATCAATCATCTTCACTTCGCTCGCTCGATTTTGTATTTTACTTCTATCATTCGCATTTAACAACTGGTGTTACTCTTAAATGGACATTAACGCCAATGACTTTAACATTTTATGGTTTATCTTATCAGGTATCAATTTATTGTGTTCTATATGTATTTCATATTTATCGTGCATTAAGACGTTTACGTGTATTTATATTAATTCTTGCAAATCCAAATATTCAACATGCATAGTAAGTTTTTTTACGAAATGATATGATTTCGTATTAGACTATCTGCAAATTGAGAGAAAAAAATAAATAGAGTTTTTATTATGATTGATAGTGGTACAGTAGTTTTAACCGAAAGCTATACTGATGTCTTCTCTAAGGAATTCTCTACGAAAGTATTTAATTTTGACACGCTATAAAAAGGATTTCATATTTAGCAGAACTTGTTCATTCTACAATGGTAAGACTAGGATTTAAAGAAAAGTGTGTGAAACAAAAAATATTTAGCCGTAATGGAATCGATATCATAACTGGTACAGAAAAAGGAATAATTCGTAGTAAACTAATGAAATAGAAAAAATCTTCCTTCATATATATTTTTGCTAATATTTTTATGTTTCTTTGTATGATATAAAATGAAAGATGATTTTTAATGGTGAAATAGGATTCTATTGGTTTTAGACAATATATTATTTTCATCACTGAAAACAGGTTAAGCTAGACCTCTACCCGGCCTAAGGCCAGCTAGAAAAGTCGACTGACTGCTGAGCCCGAAAAATATCAAAACCTGATCCTATACGACATCTACTATTTCTATACCCAAGACTTGTGAAGAGGAAATCATAATTAATCTGACTCGTAGATTTCCATATAAGGAAGCTCTCAGCTGTTCATTATCGTTCATCGTCTCATCTGTATAAACCATGAAGAGAATTTGTTAAACATTTGAGACTCTTTCATGGATGAATTTCAGTTATGCAAGACGATAATTAAAGTATATATGCACATAAGATCTGAAATATGAATGGTGTTTTAAGCGTGAGTCATGTATAACCATATAAGGAAACTAACAGCTGTTAATTATCATTTTTGGCATTATTTACGTCTCCCGAACGCTGCCGAATTTTGAAAAACGAATTTTAGATGTGCACTCGTCACATTCTCAGGGTGGGTGTGTGTGTGTGCGTGTGAACGAGAAGAACAGCAACCCACACCCCCACACCCATTAAGGTCGAGAATCTCAGTATTAATTCGAGATCAGCACTACAATGATAGTATATTTAGCAAAATACATTCTAATTTTTGATGATTTATAACATATTTTTCCCTTTGATTCGTTCATAGGATTTGTTTTAACAATTGATTGTTTTTGATGGGAAAAAAATCTGGCAGACCCTCGCTTTATCCTAACCTATTAGATACAGAATAAAACAATTTTTACATCAAAATCAATTATAATGATTGAACAAGTTAGCGTTGACAAACTCAAACCATGAATTGCTTTTCATTGTATTTTGTATCATAAGAAATATTCTTCGTCAAAACATGTTTTCTGTTATTGTCAATCTCTTAATATTTGTGCTTTTTAATGCTTACTATCATATTGAAGCATTTCTTCTCTTTTTCATCCTTGTTACTTGCGATATTAATCGATTGTTAGTGATACAAAATGAAGATTAGCAAGAATCAACAGTACGAAACAAAGTAATTACGGTCAGTGTGTCTATGCAATTACAGCCTCTAATTCAAGGTTAGTTTTTTGCGCACAAACCTTAATTGTAAATCATTCTATTACAAATAGAAGCATTTGAGGAAAGTATTTACAAGATTATTATTACAGTTTGATATATTTAAAGATGACCAATTTTAATATGTTCCAACTGCAGCTCACAATTGGATTCAAAGTCATCTCTCAGTCTGATATACACTTAAAAACAATCACACTTTTCTTAGGCGTTTGTATGAAAAATGTTCTCGTTCCCTGCTAAGATACAAAGCTATCCATTCTATGCTAAACTCAAACCTACGAAGTCCTAATCTGTGGCTGAGAAAATCACCTGTCAGGACTACAGTATCGAAAAAAACGCATGAATAAGTATAAGTGTTAGATAAATTCAAAATGTTCGTATTCTAGTGATAGACTAGTGATGTTCCTCTGAAGCAGTTCTACTCAGAAACGAAAGCGTACTTAATGAAGAACATATTAGATATCAGGAAATTTTAAATTACGTTGCCGTACTTAGCATGTTACCTTAGTCTATTAGCATTTTATGAAACTGAAAACCAATCGTTTAGATCTAGAAGCACGTTTGATTATTTTGTCTACATACACCTTGAATAATTATGACCTCCGAAAATAACATAGGTACGACAATATCTGTAAGTAAAAGGAGACATCCTCATCCATATCCATCTGCTTGTGCAACCATATACAGATTATTTTCTGAGGATGTAGATGTAGGCAAGAATAATACCAAGGTCTCTATTCAAGTGCTGGTGTTTTATTCTTGATTAGAAATTAAAAAAAGCAACAACGATTTCATGGTTTGAACCAAACTGGTCGAATCTTCATCTCGGCCGTCTTCAGTGAGTAGTACAGTCCTCGAAATGTATCCCAATTAATACCTGCTGCATATATTGTCGGATGGTGACCACTCAAATATCCTCCGTTCAGATTAGAATGATGACAACTATTGTACCACCAGGCTCCGTTACACAGCTCTGCACATGGTCCAGAATTCAAATCATTGTCTTTATCCTTGGTGGAAAACTGCATTCCGTTGTGCCAACTCAACGAATCCCCTGCATCGCCTCTGAGAAAAGAGCCGAGTGTCAATGTATAGTTATCTGCTTCGCTTGCAACCTGCACAGGAAAATATTCAGCAAATCGTTTTTGCCCATCGAAGTCTTCAAGATCAACTCTCAGCCGGTATGAGTCTTGGTTAGTCAACGTCGACAAACGATCGTTTCCTAACCAGAACTGTTGTTGTAGATCACCGAAGCCTCGCTTGTATTCGAGCCATGTTCGGTAGAAGTCTTCTCGTGGCAAATAATCGCCTCGTTTCTGAAAAACTGTCCATCCACCACCATCAGTCTCCATATCGCACAAAACTTTGATTGGCTTTCCTATTCACAACATCGCATAATAAAGTTTTGAGAAACTAAAAGAGAATAATAAGACCTTGTCGAGGCCAAATCTCATAAATACCACTTTTCGGTTGGTTATTGCGAAGATTTTTCTCTATATTGTAAATTCCCGCACAGTCCTCAGCGTAATCACTGAGAAAATGTGTGTTAGAAATAATGGCTTGGCCTTCAGTTGAAATATTGCCGATCAATCCATGAGCCAAATCAACATCGATATAATACCCAAACACCAAAATGCTGCTTAACAACAGAATCAAAGAAACTAGCATGAAGCGTTGCATTGTTATTTTTTTCGCAAGTAAGCAAGACTAAATTTCTATTAGAAGATACCTTTTTATCCCTCTCTATATTCGGTGTCTCTTCGAATGAGGTGATCCAAGAAGATTACTGTGATTAGAGAAAAAATCAAAGAATACGAACAGAAGAAAATAGGTGTCAATAAGTGCGCAATGCGTGATGAGATAAAAGATGGATGCCTATAATGTGCCTCCCTGTCGACAAAAATGTAAGTCCACATACATTCGAAAATAGAAAAGTAATACAAGAGTGAAAAGAAAAGTATAGAAATGCTGATAGGCAGAAAATATAATAAGAGAAAGAGAATCATCAAATGAATTGAAAACAAGAATCCATACTCCAGTCGTATGATAAAAGAAAACCAGAAACAATATGTAGTCTAGAAATAGAAAATTGTAAATAAATTAGAATTTAAGAGGTTGCCAGAGAGTTAGAAAATATGTCCTAACCAAGGAAAATGGATAATGCAGAAGGAAGATAAATGTGAGCAGTTTTTTGGATAAATCTACATCTCATTGGAGTGAAGATGCAACTTCACATGCATACGCACATATATATTCACACCCTCTATCAATTCTTCTCCAATTTAATACATATCATTAACAAAAATTTTCAAAGCTTATCGAATTTAATTAGATCAAATCGACTGAATGATGAATAACCACACATGATTGGATCATGAATATCTCTGCGAACGAAAACTTTATATGCCAAAAATAGAAACGATTATAAAACAAGAGAAGACTTTGATCATTGTGACTGTGATAGGACAAAAGTTTGTTGTTTTTGTTCTATCGTTAAGAAATTTTCATCATTTGATATATAACAGCAAATTTTGGCACAGAAAGTTCATTGAAGCCATAAAAGAATCCAATTGTTTTTGTAATCAACAATGAATGAATCTTCTTCCCGCAAATGACTATGATCAATAAGCCATTGACGAAAATTTTTACTGACGTCATCTGTTACCGAACCTCTAACGTAAAGAGCACGAAAGTTTTTATCTTTCCACAATGCAAGCATTCGTAGAATAAGTAAATCGACGAAAACTTTTGGATTTTTCAAAGATAAACTGAAATCACGAAGAAGATTCAACTTTTGAATAATGGCATCTAAATGAATAATATCTTCTTCTTGAAAATGAGTAATATGAATATGTACAATCCGCTGTTGCAATAATTTACATGTAGATGCATCGTTGAGTACAATATTTAAACAGTTAAAATTGATGTTTAAATACTCAAGATTTGGAGCGGCTTGAACTAGACGAAATATTTCATGTGTTCCCTTTACATAGAGACGCTTCAGTTTAGGTAAATATAAGACGATCGATTGCGTTGATTGAAAAGTAACTATAGACGAAAAAAATGAATAGTAATTATTTAGAAAAGTAAAACTGAAATGCAAAAATGTAACTTTTCACGAATCGAAATAGAAAGTAAAAACAGATTCGTTCGAAGGAATCAATTTTAGAATAATAAGTGAAACATGTAGAAAAGTAAAAAAAAGAAAGACATGTTTTTCTTTTTTCTTCCTGTTTGACTGAAAATTGTCATATCTGCATATCAAATTGAATTTTTCGAGACATCATTTTATCACGGATCATCATCAATATAAAGAGGATCTTCGAACATGATGAAAGCTTTTTACCAAATAGTCTACTTTTTTTCTCGATGATAGGACACATTTCGAAGTATATTCTTAAAAGAAAACCTTTAACCTATTCTGATTTGGACTCTCGTCATTGACTTCAATAAAGAAATATTATTTTTCTCAGACTACTTAGCCTATAAAAATCCT